CATCCAGTCCTGACAACGCTACTCTCTCCACAGCTTTAAGGTCCCCTCGAAAATCGGGAGTTAGGCATTCTACCAGGATTTTTGAATTCCTTAAAAGGAGAGGCAAAATGAACACATCTAGGGGATCTTGATAAAAAATATAGCAAAGAACCAAACATAACTAAATAAATGACGGTCTGATAACCAAAGCAAAGTTAATTTGGGATACAATTCTAAACCAACAGATTTCTGCAAATACTAGTACTACAATTCAAACATAACGTGTTTAGTTCCTGATCTTACTGATGTGAGCTGAAATAGAATGAAAGTGAAATAAATACAAAAGAAATTCCAACAGTCTTAATCACAATCACTGTTTGTATGTGATTTTTCATTTGTCTTTGTTGCAGGTTAACTTATCATGAGCTTAACATCATAGCTCCAAGATACAGGAGAGATACAATCCTGCCTACTGGGATAAGAAGCCTGCATTATTGCCCTGGGATCTAATCTTGGTGTCCAGGAGCCAGATTTCAGCTCAGAAAGGGAAACTGCAAAAAAAACTCCCAAGATAAAGACTTAAATGACATTATACAAATTAAATCTGCAGGTAGACACATACGCTACCTAATGGCATGCAGGGCACTGATGTAGAGTGAAGAAGGCACAGCTAGGGAAAGCCAGAAGGTACAATCACAGACAGAAACAGTCATTGTGGGAAAACACAAAGAAATCTGATCACTGCTGAAAGAGAAACCCAACTTCTTCTGTCATGTGGTGGCACTTATCTAAATCCAATGTGTTTAAGCCCCAAGCTTCAAGAATGAACGTACCTCAAAAGTATGTACTCATTTCCTGGTAGACCAGCTGCCTGTTCAAAGAAATAATCCTGTGCTTAGCTTTAAATAAGCCTGGGCTAAATTGGAAATGCATCCAGATTCAAAATACTTTGAGGCCATTATATGAGAAAGATGAAAAACAAGAAAAAAAAAAAGGAGGACACAGATAGGCTAAAGACAGACTTCTGTATCTATACAGCCCTTGGAATAATCCAGCTAAAAGTAGTTTTGACCTATATGCAGTACCACATTCTAAAGTTATAATAATAGTAGTAACACATCAACAATATACCTTTCTTTCAGATGCGAGACTGTCTTTGCAAAGTGTTCTGCTCCACCGTCAGGCATATCTAGAAGAATTTCAATTATTCAGTTGACCTTTCTGTTCAAGAAATGTATTTACTTATTAGCAAAGCTACAAAACCCCCACAGATTCAAATTTAAATGAAAAATAATACAGCAGTCAAACCCCAGTCTTACCTTACTGCTTATGCCAAAGGTTTACAACAGATATTCTACCAAGCCTTGTTCTGCACAAAGTCAAAACTGTGATTGCCTAGGGCAGGCTTCAAATGTTTACTCCGAATTTACCTGTCTCTAGGTTCACTGTCAGCCTGACCACAAAATGGCTTAACCTATTCATGTTTTTGGTCTGAGAAACAGTTATACAAAAACTGAAATATATATATATTGTTGGTCTTTTATTGTAAGCCACTTCAAAGCTACTGGACTTTCCACCATACTGAACAGTCTTTATGATGGTCTTCCCCACCTATGTGGTTTCAGCACAAAGGAGCTACTACAAACTTAGAAAAAGGCAACTTTCAGTTCTGTTACAATATATTCCAGGTTTAGTTTTTGGAAGGAAGTTCTGTAATGTAACGGTATTGTATATGAAGTTGGGGCAGGGGTGGGTTTTTTGCTAATTAGGTAATAGAACGTGCTGTGTATATATGCATTTTGCAAAAAAAAAAAAAAAAAGAGTTATAAAATATTTAGTATTGTAATATTCTTGATGTTTAATAACAGTGTAGCTTCTGTTATATTTTATGAGACAGAGAAATACTAAGAATATGTAGAAACTTTGAAAAGTTTCATCACTGTCAACTCTTTTAAAATAGCAATCCTCAACAGTTGTGCTGAGCGATAAATGTTTATCAAGGTCTGTGTTTACCCTATATAACCCATATGAGAGCTCAGACTGGAAGAGATAAGAGACAACATACTAACCGTCTCTGTCCACAGATGTCAATACAACATAATCCAAGCCCCACTCAGCTATAGCCTTTGCTGTGTTGTAAGGCTCCTTGGGATCCAGTGGAGGTGGATTTTTTGCTGTCTTTACTGAACAAAATCTGCAACCTCTAGTGCATGTGTCACCCATCAGCTGAAATAAGAAAGACATTCCTACCTTTACACTGTACACATCACTACTGCTCAGCTGAGACACAGCTGCGTAAGCTATATCAGATAAATCCCAATACTAAGTAAAAAAATTAGGACAGTGCTTTACTCTACATTTGTTGTAATAAACCCACTCCACTACAGTAGAGATGCAACAGTACAAACAGCTCTAACAATAACAGAATACTAAGAAATGGTTAATGGCTTACCATAATAGTAGCTGTAGCTGTAGCATATTCACCACCTCCCCAGCATTCTCCAATGTTGGGACAACGTGCTTCTTCACATACCTAAAGGTAAAAGACAGGAATGTACCTATTATTACTGTGATCTATTATTACTGAAAATTATTGTTATATTATTGATCAATTTCAATAGTCACCTACAAAAAAAATTCCTTCCCTGATAAATGAGGGGATTAACAGAGTTGCATATTATTCTCTAAGAAATCAGTAGAATAGATAGGAAGAAAAGAATTATTTCCTGACATCCATTATCACTCTTTTCCTCTACTTCACAACTCCAAAAACTCCTCAACCATGTAACTGCCTTATTAATTAGCATATATTGTCATTGACATTTTAGATTGAAAAACCGATAAAATGTTCACAAAGCCCGTGGTGCATCAAAGCATGATCTTACTCTGAAAAAAAAGGAAAAAAATCTCTCCATGCCTACTCACCACTTTTTAGCATCTGGAAGGTATATTTAATGAAACACATACATTTCTATAATTTCTTTTCATGCAAAACATGTGTGTAACTCTGAAATTGTGTGTGTTTCCATTAAAAGCAGTCACACATAGCATCTTCTGATCTGTTTGGAGATGCAAATAGTAAACCCTAGTATTTAAAATCACAGCAGGAAAACCATGAAATAATCCATTGGATTTGACTTCATTCTTTATGGGTAAAATTCACCGCTGGCAAAAAGATCAGCATTGGGCTTGGTTTCAGGGCTGAAGATCATTGAAGACATGATTTCTACCTGTCCTCCACAAAGACATAATTCTGTATCTGTAAAAAATGCTGTATTTCTACAGGAAAACCTGGTTGGTACTAGATTTACCGTATGAAGATTTAAACTTCTCAAGGTATTCTTTAGTTTATTGTAGTTCTTTCCCATGGGAATCTTTGTTTTCAGCCATGGAGGAAGTTGCAGCCTGAATAACACCAAGCAAACATAAATGTTAATAGATTATTTACATGGTAAGCTTCCATTAATTTCATAGATCCACTTCAATTTGTTACAGATCCCAACTAGGAAAGGTTCCTTGAAAACTGACGCAACTCAGCAACCAATATTCAAATCATTCATGGTCATAATGGACTTCTCTCTTCCATGTTTATCATCATCCCAACATGCAAGAGTAGGTGTTTTTTGTCATTAGAACTTTAAAAATGTTAACTGCACTGGTGGGATTTAATAATGTCACACTAGAGACTGCAACAATGGCAGTATACACTCCACAGCTATCGCCAAGCCTGATCTGGAAATATGGTGGGTTTAAGCATTTTTGATTTAGTCTCCCTTTTTTGTTTTACTCTATCAATAATATTTTTTCAACACCAAAGTAGGGTACACTCATCTACCAATGTAATTTACTACAGACTATGTCACAGGCAGTCAAGTGAGAAAATCCCACCACGTCTTCATGTTTTGTTATGCATTTGAAGTTAATAATATGTTCTTTCTTGGAAACTTATGAAATTTACAAACCAGTATGGAAATATTTAATAAATTATACACATTTTGTAGTTAGTATTAAACATACAAGATTGTGCGTGGAGGCAGCTACAGTTGTTTGAAAACACAAGTACCTTTCTCCTTTCTGACGCTTTAAATTGCCTTTATACTCTGCCCACGTGCTCTTGTCTGATAAATCTCCAGACACAAAGTCTTGTAAGGCTGGTCCATTTTGCAGAAACTCTTTTTTTTCCTCTGGCAAAGAACCTGCTGTTCTGTACTGGTTACACAGGTGGCTCCCAGACACCTAAAAGAAGTAACACTGTAATTTATTGAATTCTAAATGTGCTAGCATTATATACTAAATACCTGCTCGTCCTTTTGGTGGTTAAGGTTAAGGTACATTTTGCGTAAGCATTCTCCCAATTGCCTTTAAGTTAAACATATAATTATCTTTTTCATTTTACATCACACGAAAACAGACATAAAGCATGATTTCTTCTGAAATATCTTAATATCAAACTAAGTTACATAGGCTTTGGATGTAAGTTACATTGTACGGGTTAATTGGCGATGTCGGGGCTGAAACCCAAGCCGCTGAGGTGATGAACCGCAAGCTGCCAAGTGAGTAACTCACGGACGTTATGTCGATGCAGAAGCAGCACAAGCCGGGCTCTCAGAAGCAGAGTTTGAAGTGGGTGGGATCCGTGGGTCCCTTTGCTGAGAGTGAGTGAGCCAGCGTGCGTGTGTGTGTGCAGGGGCACGGCAGCTCCCCGCCTGCAGCACGTCCCAACCTCCCCGCGGCGGCGCTGGGACAGCCCTTCCCAGGGCTCTGCCCGCAGGGAACCACCGCTGTGAGGCCCCACATCCCAGCCGGGCGGCCCGCAGCCAGACACCAGCTCAGATATCGGCATCGTCTTCTGCCGCCACGACGTGCCCCCTCCCCTCACCGTGGCACCGTCCCGAGGTCTCCCTTCTGCCGGGCCGCAACGCCCAGCCCTGTCCGCTCGGCAGCCCGCCCTGCGGCCTGTGCCGGCCGGCCCCGCCCCGCCCCGCCCGCGCGGGTGTCTCTCTCTGAAGGGCGCCGGCTGCCCCTCCGCACAGGCCCTCTGCAAACCCCCTCGGCTCTTCACACCTGCCGCCGCGTCTACATACGGGTATTACTTACCTCTGTAATTCTGGCACCGTCTCCACGTTGTGGGCATACACATCCAGTCCTGACAACGCTACTCTCTCCACAGCTTTAAGGTCCCCTCGAAAATCGGGAGTTAGGCATTCTACCAGGATTTTTGAATTCCTTAAAAGGAGAGGCAAAATGAACACATCTAGGGGATCTTGATAAAAAATATAGCAAAGAACCAAACATAACTAAATAAATGACGGTCTGATAACCAAAGCAAAGTTAATTTGGGATACAATTCTAAACCAACAGATTTCTGCAAATACTAGTACTACAATTCAAACATAACGTGTTTAGTTCCTGATCTTACTGATGTGAGCTGAAATAGAATGAAAGTGAAATAAATACAAAAGAAATTCCAACAGTCTTAATCACAATCACTGTTTGTATGTGATTTTTCATTTGTCTTTGTTGCAGGTTAACTTATCATGAGCTTAACATCATAGCTCCAAGATACAGGAGAGATACAATCCTGCCTACTGGGATAAGAAGCCTGCATTATTGCCCTGGGATCTAATCTTGGTGTCCAGGAGCCAGATTTCAGCTCAGAAAGGGAAACTGCAAAAAAAACTCCCAAGATAAAGACTTAAATGACATTATACAAATTAAATCTGCAGGTAGACACATACGCTACCTAATGGCATGCAGGGCACTGATGTAGAGTGAAGAAGGCACAGCTAGGGAAAGCCAGAAGGTACAATCACAGACAGAAACAGTCATTGTGGGAAAACACAAAGAAATCTGATCACTGCTGAAAGAGAAACCCAACTTCTTCTGTCATGTGGTGGCACTTATCTAAATCCAATGTGTTTAAGCCCCAAGCTTCAAGAATGAACGTACCTCAAAAGTATGTACTCATTTCCTGGTAGACCAGCTGCCTGTTCAAAGAAATAATCCTGTGCTTAGCTTTAAATAAGCCTGGGCTAAATTGGAAATGCATCCAGATTCAAAATACTTTGAGGCCATTATATGAGAAAGATGAAAAACAAGAAAAAAAAAAAGGAGGACACAGATAGGCTAAAGACAGACTTCTGTATCTATACAGCCCTTGGAATAATCCAGCTAAAAGTAGTTTTGACCTATATGCAGTACCACATTCTAAAGTTATAATAATAGTAGTAACACATCAACAATATACCTTTCTTTCAGATGCGAGACTGTCTTTGCAAAGTGTTCTGCTCCACCGTCAGGCATATCTAGAAGAATTTCAATTATTCAGTTGACCTTTCTGTTCAAGAAATGTATTTACTTATTAGCAAAGCTACAAAACCCCCACAGATTCAAATTTAAATGAAAAATAATACAGCAGTCAAACCCCAGTCTTACCTTACTGCTTATGCCAAAGGTTTACAACAGATATTCTACCAAGCCTTGTTCTGCACAAAGTCAAAACTGTGATTGCCTAGGGCAGGCTTCAAATGTTTACTCCGAATTTACCTGTCTCTAGGTTCACTGTCAGCCTGACCACAAAATGGCTTAACCTATTCATGTTTTTGGTCTGAGAAACAGTTATACAAAAACTGAAATATATATATATTGTTGGTCTTTTATTGTAAGCCACTTCAAAGCTACTGGACTTTCCACCATACTGAACAGTCTTTATGATGGTCTTCCCCACCTATGTGGTTTCAGCACAAAGGAGCTACTACAAACTTAGAAAAAGGCAACTTTCAGTTCTGTTACAATATATTCCAGGTTTAGTTTTTGGAAGGAAGTTCTGTAATG